TATATATATATATATATATAAAAAATAATAATATATAAAACAAAGTATAAGAAATATTTATAGAATATGTTAATACGCGAGAGATAATAAATTACTTTGAGTTCGTTTTTGTTTAAAGTTTTAATTGGCTGGTGGATTCTGTCGTTGACTCATCCAAAATCTCAAAATCACACGAGATTCGGAGAAAGAGACAATGGCTAAATGAGTGTGGAATCCTTCTTTAGCTAGTTATGTTATCCAGGATCCAGTGCAGATAGTGAGCGACGCTGGTGTATACGCCGGGCAGTCCGCTCTGACCGCAGTTCTTCGGCCCAAAACTGACGACACCGTACTGTATGTACTTGGCATCAAAGTCGAGGGACCCAGCAGTCTGGATCGGTCCGCCGCTGTCGCCCGTGCAAGAATCGCGAGATGCTTTGCCACCAGCGCAGATCTGCCTTCGTGTTATCGTAAGGTTCTTGTACACCTCCTGGCATTCCTCATAATTCATGGCGTCTACAAATACTTTGAGCAGAGCGGTCGATCTGGTTTCTGGAAATGTTAAAACTCAATGACCTGTACTCGAGAGTTGATGGTGTTGCTTACTCTTCTCCGTTTGGCCCCAGCCTGTAACCAAGTATTTGTCCACTTTCACCTCGCGCGTCTCCTTCGTGTACGGCAGACATATCGGTTTGATGTTGTCCTGATCTGTTTTCGCGGCTCTTGCCAGTCTGAGCAGACCTATGTCGTTTTGAAGAGCTGTTCTATTGTACAGCGGATGCGGAATCACCTTTTCGATTCCCATGTCCTGGTATGGTGGTGAGCACACCGTGTCTCCGTCCAAAGACGTTTCGCAATCCTGCTCCGTCGAAAAGTCATGTTCTCCCAATCTAACGCCTCTCCTGAAAACATACAATCATCGTCAAATATACCTTAGCTATGACTACTTCACAAATTCGTTAATTAAAACAAATATGACATTCAAACAAACTAATGAGAAATCTCTTATCAGTTGCAGATACTGCTAAACAATTGTAGAAATACCTCGCATAGTGCGGCTTCGATCAGTCCGAATTCACTATAGTGTATTTGAATTGATTAAAATAAATTTTAATACATTATTATTTTTTTATATAAATGATGCTCGGCCTTTATACAATAACTTTTGGTGTGGTTATATTTGTATATACTTCAATTAGTCCTGTAATATTGACGGAATCGATTACCTGCACTATATGAGACACTTCGATTAGACCACACTATGCGAGGTAATGCTATTGTTAACTTTTTGAGTCCGAAGCACACAAATATCTAAAAAATACTTTTCATCATGTCAATTGTATAATCTAATACAATGGTGGGCATGGTACTGCTTTTGATAATTTTTGCTTGCGGTTTACAGTTCTTCAGCATTGTGAAAGTTATTTATAGAAATTACGAGCCAATTATCAATCCCTTTCATATTAACTATGACATCTTCATCTTCCAGTCAGTTATCATTTTATTATCGTTATATAAGATCGTAAAAGAGTTGCATTTCAACATATCCAAATTGAAGATGTATTCATTACAAAAACTTTGAGTAAATTCATTTGCGGCAACTCAGTTACATTTTCACAGTCTTTATCGGTCATTTAATGTCCGCTTATCACTTCGGTCACTGGAAATGTCGCAAACACTAACATTAATCGGCGCAACGTCGATTTGACACATATTTAAAAAAAACTAACAATTATAGTACAAAATCAAAGTATATGTAATAGTTACAATGTGAGTTTTGCTGCGTTTAATATTAAGAACACATGCTAATCTTATGTTAAGCGAATTGATAGTATTACCCGGGGATAAATGGGCTATATTCCCGGGACACCAGTCTTTTGGGGGCGGAAATTTTGTTTACGAAGAGAGACGCATTATTGTTAGTAGTATTATCTATGTGTATATATTTATACATGTTCTTACTAAATTGAGAATTATTTTTTATCAGCGTTAAGGTCGACTTGAAATTCAACGAATTAATGGCGCAACATTTATGTGTGTGTATGTTTTTAGCTAGCTAAACAGATTCGATAAATATCTGTATGAAATATAAGGAAACGAGAATATTTAACGGTTATATTTGTAAAGTAGAGAAACGAGAAATCAGGGTCACGTAAAAATTTTGTTATTTTGTACGTTGAAAGTGTTGAGCATCATCGACACCTGTTAACATTTTAGAGTCGCGTGGAATTCATATGTATAATTAATTAATCGTTTATTACAATGAAATTGCAGGTATTTTTTCCAATTCCCGAATCAATAACAACAACAATAACAGGTACTGGTCAATGCCACAGCAGTTGCGACATTCTCTGAGATCAGCACGGCAGTCGTAGAAATGAAATTATTTGGTAATATTAAATATTGATGAGCAATACTGATTATCATTTAATAATGTAAATGTATTGTACGCTTCAAAGAATATTTCATTTAAAATGTATAAATTCCCAACAGATTGTAAGTTTTGCAATTATGTGTAATTTTGTTATCATCTTTTTTAAATGATCCAGCGGAGTTGAGAACGGCAATAATCGCGTGCTGGATAATTCCATAATCGTTACTTCCGACCGAGATGCGTTTCACAACAAAACGACACTGAACAAAGGCTCATTTAAGCATCTTTTAATGTCCCCGCTTAAGCTGTTTTAAATTGGATTATAATGGAAAGTATTCGGGGAAAAAAAAAACTAACATTGATTTCTATTTGTAGAAGTTGAGCTCGATATAAATATGATTCAGAATAAATTACGTCGGTTTTATATTTTAATGAAGCTGGGAATTTCCGTTGAAAGCAAAATATAAACGAAACAAAAAAAAAAGTGAAAAGAAAGTGACTTACAGTGGAAATTTTAGTTCGGTGATGCAGTGGGCGGCGGTCAACACGTATCGGTCATTGATCAGAGTTCCTCCGCATCTAAAATCTAGACCACTCCCTGCAAACAAATAATCCTTGATCCGGTAATCATGACTTGGAGATGCTCTAGTAAACATCGAATGCCAGAAAAGGAGAAGAAAAACGAAGGAACTAGTTTTCTCTGGCTTCGTATGGTAATGAGAGAAGATGTATGTGTACCTGTTTGGTAGGAGAGGAGGACCATCCACGGGAACTCGAAGAGGCCGGTGGTGTTGCCGTTGGTGATGCGGTCTTCGGTACCTAAGCTACCGCAGGCTTTGCTCAGCAGGCCAAGATTTCGATGATTGGTGACGTCTGGAGGGGTGTCTTGGATACGGTTGTCCACGAGATCGGGTTTGCTGGTGGTGTCGGGTCTGACGATCGCCTTCTTGGGGCAACAGACCTTGATGGTCTTCCCGCTGAAGCCGCACTGGTAGGACTGCAGGCGCTTCAGATCTTCGGCGCTGAGTGGTTTCGGGGATTTTTCGATGAAGTCCACGACGTGCTTGCAGTCGTGGACCGGGATGCAAGTTCCGACTCCTCTGTCCGGCGTCCTGCAGCCATCATCGTCGATGGCCCACTCTGGAAATATTATATCCTCTATTTACGCGCGTGCAGGACGCATAAGCTGCAAACGCTACTGGTCTAAACTACGTCGCTTTACAAGCTAACAGCATGCATGCATCTATTTTCGTCAAGATTAGCCACTTACGAGACGTCACCAGAAGAAGGCTGCTCAGCAGTAGTAGCACAGCAGAGGCGGTGGTGATCTTCGAAGCCATCGTCCCTTCAAATCTCACTGTACCATAACACTAGAAAATGATACAAGTGTATACAGACACTTGGATTCTTGTTGTTGTTGTTTTTTGATCGGTGACGGTGAAGCGGTGCGCTGATCGAAGCAGCCTTGCTCGGACACTGAGACGGGACTTCGGCTCGTCGACGTTCTTTATACGACGATGGCGCGGACAACAAACAACAATTTTTAAAACCGAAACGAGCACCGCCGCTGCCGCTCCTCTCCGCCTCCCCGATCCCCCGCCTTCGCGACAACAACTCTCTTCTTCGTCTGCTAATCCTGATCATAGACCACAGGTAAACTCCCCTGTGCTGGCGGACAGCGGTCAAAGCGACCGTTCAACCTCCACGCAAAAATAAAACGCGCATTCCTTTCATCAATCAGATACATCCAATAAAGCACACCATCAATTATTATTCATTATTCCGCGCGATTAACTGAATGCAAATCCACGCTTCCACGAATCTGCTATCTGCACAGCTCTACACATTCAACGCGAATCAAAAATATACGTATATCTGGTTGCTTCATCCATTTATAGAGCAATTACACTTGAATGCAATGACTTTAACAACTTTAACCTTCAACTACATATCTTACAACAAATACAAATCCTTTACACTGTAAATTCAATAGATATTCACTAAACAATCCTTCAATTAATGACAAGAGAACATTTTGTAAATTTCATGCTTTCTTCTCTCTGCTATTATTTAATTAATTTTAAACATTACTATTATTACAAGAAAATGTCTTTTATTTCTTCTACATTCAATATTACTTTAAATTTTAATAAATCATTCATAAATCGAAAAATACATAAACCAAATTATAGAATTTTCTTCTATATTTCCAGATAATTCTGGAAAAATGATTTATTTTGAATAGGATATGAAATGTTAATAAGCTCATTGCTTTCCAATAGAAATTTCCCCAGACATCGATTATTCAGCATACCAAACACATGAATCGTACATTATACCCTCATACTTATATGTTTTCAGCTTAAAAATATTTATCTTTAGTCATTTTAACTTCAACTTTAAAGGCAATCTTTGAAATATGACCTTTACAAACGGAAAATACTTCACAATCATTTTTCAGATTATATATGCAAATGGACCTGCTCCACATCATTCCTTTAATCAATTCAACTTTACCTTCAGCGTTTAACGAACGAGAAACAAAAAAAGAAACAACTCCTCCGGTTTTTACGTGCTTGCAAAGAAGGGAAAATCCGTACTCCATTCGTGTTCATATTTACCTTTTATCTTTTCATCCAACGCAACTATACATTACTGTAATTGGTGTAATCATTTAAGACTTAATAAATAATCAATTGCCTATGCTTCACAATTTATGTAATGGATATTATGTTTTTTTTAAGTCTTTATAGATTTTCTCTAATAAAAATAATAAATTACTATATTTGTTTCGTTAGTTTAGCAGTTAGTTCTATCACAATATATACATATAAATAATAAATATTTGGTATTTTTCTTTAGTTTCGGTTTACACCATATTTTTTCTTTTTCTTAATTTGCCAATAAGAAAGTGGAATACCTCTCCATTCTACAGAGCGTCGTCAGTGTTGTTGTAGTTTTTGGTGATGGCGGTGCTTGTTGTTGACGTTGTCGTCGTCTTCGTCGGACGACGGCTTCAGGTTGTCCAAGATCCAGTCCATGTAGTAGGAGATGCGCGTGTAGACGGCTGGCTGACCATCGGTGCCGCAGTGACGAGGACCGTAAGACACGACGCCGTGCTGCACGTATCGCGGCTCGCCGCCCTCGACGAGGCTGACATGATACAGGGGTCCGCCACTGTCGCCGCCGCACGTGTCACGTCCCATCGCACCGCCAGCGCACAGCTGCTTCATGGTGACGTTGGCGTACTTCCGATATATGCGGTCGCATTCGTCGTTCGACACAACCGGCAGCAACGTCTTCAGCAGCTGAGGACTCTTGAACCCGGTCTCGGTGACACCCCATCCCGCCACCATCGCGAACTTTCCAACCAACGACATCTCGGACAGCGACCCAAATGGCAAGCAAATCGGTTGCACATTATCTGAAAACACATCAACTTTGTAACGCAACGAAAATATACGTTCTCCGATCATTCAATCGTTCCAATTAATCGAATTACAGTTCATCTAACGTGAACGATGGGAAAACCTACATAAATAATATGCGATAACATTTTTTTTTATACAAATACAATTACTAAACAATCAGTTGAAATAATTTTTCCATGAAAAGAGTTTACACAATTTTAGTACAAAAATTTAGTACAAAAATACAACTCAAAATATGTACTATATTTTGAATTACACATGTTTACTATATTAAAACGTCATATCCTCTAGTCATAACAAAAATCTTTTCGTGGAGCAAAATAAATTACTTACTTCTTCAGAAACTTGAAATGTATTCAAATTTCAAGAATTCAAAAGATAATAAATTATAAGATGAAATTTCGCAAAACAATAGTTATTTACTAATTTTTAATCATATGATTGAATAAGAAATTACTCAATATAAATTTGTTGTTTAATATGTATTAATTTAGTAAACAATATTTTTTATGAAAACCAATAACTTAGTCGTCTTATGACGCGTTGTTTTCGTATCTTCGAGTTTCCATCATACTTGTGCGGGCAAAGGTATTTGAAATGTTTTGCGTAGTGAGTGGTCAATATTATTTATGTATACTTGCGAATTTGACGGGTGTGGCCAGCCTGATGAGGGCGATGTCGTTGCCGAAGGATGCCGGCACATAGTCGGGATGAAGGGTGACGTCTTCGATGTAGAAGTCTTGAACGGGCGGAGCGCACTTCCCCGTTACCGACGAACAATCCACGCGCGTATTGATGTTATGCTCACCCAACCTGACGCCGGCCCTAAGCAATAAAACAAACAAAAATAACTCAAGCAACCATATTCATCCCCATGGTTACGTACGTACAGTGTCATATTGTATATGCAATGGGCGGCTGTCAGGACGTATCTGTCGTTAATCAGGCTACCATCGCAACGGAATTCGTGTCCAGATTTATCTGCAAAGATTACACATCCAGGTAAATATCACTAAGAACATTAAAATGTATCATTATGTTTTAACATCAATTAGTTTGCATTGTGTTTTGCAGTTAATGACAGTTGGAGCAATTTGCTAAAATAACAACTCTATTCACACAGCAAATTGTCATGGGAATCTCTTAATCATTAATAATTGCAGTACTTGTATCAAGTTTTTCTCTAATAAAAATGATAAATTGTTTTGTAAATTTTGTCAAGATTCTATATCCAATGTGTATATGCTTGTTTTACGCAATATTTAATTGATACCGGTTTTGTAGGCGAGCAACGCCATCCAGGGGAACTCGTAGAGACCGGCTTCTCGGCCGCCCGTGATCCTGAACTCGTTGGCGATGGGCCCGCAGTCATCCTGAGGAACGAGCACCCTGTTCCTGTGCTTGGAGGTGTCTGGCGGCTTGGCGGCCTGCAGACTCGTGGCCTGCTCTTTCTGGCAGCAGACCAGAGGCGTGTTATCCTTGAATCCGCACTGGAACGTCCTGATCGTGTCGATGACGTGCTTCGGTCGCGGAATGACACTGCGATCGAGCAGATCCGCAAAGTACGGACACCTGCGGATCTCCACGCAGAAGTCGCCCCTAGGTTGTACACATCTATCATCTATTCGCACCAAAACAAAGAAATTAACATTGAGGCTATTGTAAATTATGAAAACTGTTAAGATTCAGAGAACTTACTCAACTTGAAGCGCGATTTTCCTGATGCCAGGCCCGAGAATAGGAACGCCGCCAAACAGAGCAGTTTCATTGTCGGTCTTCTCGGAGGTTAATAAAATAATAAAAATACATATTTGAAATGGGATTTATAAAAAAAATCAACAATCAATTCATGTTATCTCCGCTGCTTCAGAGAGAACCTTCAAAAGTATTTGGTTCGGTCACGAGGAAAGTGCGATGCTCGTGTTTTTTTCAGTTCTCGTCATAGCAGTTTATCCCATTCTCGGTAAGGTTAACTGCTGAATTAACGTAGACACTATGATTAATATCTATTATACTAATATATTAGTATACAAATAAATAAATAAATAAAAGCTTAAATTCAGTTAATTCTTTTTATTAACATACTGATGTTGCGAGTTGTAAAAACCCGTCTACCTTTTGTGATATGTGACATTATGTTTTTCATCAATGAATCTTACTTCAAAGATAGAGTTTGCGGTTTTGCGTCAAAATTAGTTGGCTGAGACAAAAAAAAATGCGTTTCCATTTGTTAAACAAAACAATTAATTAGTTTTATCGTTCCTATAGCTACAGAATGCAATGGACAAGCGACATGCGTCAGCCTGACAGACTGCAACCACTACGTGGATTTTCTGGGTACGATGCAGAAACCGCTGAAGGCGTCCGTCGTGCACTTCCTTCGGTCGCAGCATTGCGGCTTTCGAAATGGTTATCCACGCGTCTGCTGCGCTCCGATGCCCAAAGGTTTAAAGATATTCGATGATGCCAAAGTTGGACCATCTTTTGATGTTGTCGTTTCAACGGCACCGCCGAACGCCATGCCCGTTCCGCACTTCCAGAGGAAACGAAAGAAACATAAGAAATTCTACTCCAAGTCGGAGGACCTTTTGGACTTCGATCTGTTCCGAAGACGTCGTTCACCCAACGGCGTCAACGTCGAGATCAGATAACGCAATACATTTATAATTTCATAACATTTTTTTAATGGTTGTTGTTGATGGATATGTTGATAGAAAAAATAAAGGACGACGTGTGTATTTTATTTAAATGGATTTCAAAGATAATCTCATTATTAAAGATAATCTGTTTGATTTACCTTTTGATAATTAATAAATAATACTCGTTTTGATTTAAATCAGTGATTCCCAAAATGGTCTATGACAAGCTGCAAGGGTCTACGTCGGCGAAAAAAATGAAAATGGGGGTACACGATAGTGGATCTCAACATACACTGATAGTACCTATTTACTATCTATTATACTATCTTATAATATAAAGACATATAAATTATTTAGTTGCTAAAAATTTGAGTGTAAGATTGTATGAATCTCTTCAATTAGTCATTGATGCAGTAAAACGAATCCGAAGCAACGCGTTGAATACTTTCATCAATTACTCCTTCACACTGAAGTACGCTGGCTGTCGAAAGGCTTATGTTTGACAAGATTTTTTGTACATTTTGAGACTATATTAGAATTTCTGGATACTAAAGATACAATTTTAAAAGACAATTTAATGAAGTGGAATACAGACATCGTCTATTTAACAGATTTGTTTACAAAATTTAATATGGTTAATTTGCAGTTACAAGGCGACATTCTAAATTTGATTAAAACAAAGTCCATCTTATCAGCGTTTCTTGTCAGAGTTAAACTAATGAAGCAAAATAGTTCGCCAATTTGTCACAGACAAACTGCCAGGAAAACGACGTTTCAACAACCTACGTTCAACATTTAAATGCCCTCTATTCAGATTTAGAAACTAGGTTTGAGTACGTTTTGACTATGGTAATACCACAGTGGATAATTAACCCATATGGTGACATAGAAGAAACGAATGTCATAATACAAGAGGAATTGCCTGAACTAAGTACAAACGAAGAACTTAAGTTTCAGTTTAAAAACAGATATCAGCAATTCTGGCTGCAAAACAACATACCCGTTCGGTTATTTATCCCGTATTATGGAATATAGCGAGGAAAATTTTTATTTTCCTTTCCATCGTCATACCTAGTGGAAAGGGGGTTCAGCGCTGTTACCAATCTCTTAACGAAAAAAAGAAACAGACTGGACATCATTAGACGAGGAGATTTAAGATTAAACCTTACAAAATTGACAAATGTTGATAATTTATTATTAATGCATCAGGTTCATCCTTCATACTAAAAACATTTAATTATTGCTTAGTTTATTTTATGTTACGAATATTTTATATAACAGATACAAAATTTTGTTTTGAGTAGTTTTAATTTATGTATAAAACTTAACGTGTTTTTACTTTAAGTTTTTAACACTAAACTTCACCACAGTTAGAAATTTACAAAAAAAATCAATATCAGGTAAGTAAGGGGTCTACCCAAAACCGAAAAACATGGCAAGGGGTCTACAACACAAAAAAGTTTGAGAACCTCTGATTTAAATTATGGAACATGAAAATAAATTGAACACTAGCTTTTATACAATAAGTTAGTGAGTCATATAATGCGTGTACTACTGATACAATAATAGACAAATATTTCGTAATACACATGATCCATATATAATTGAATTTCAGTTATGCGTAAGATGATTTTTTCAAAGCTGAAGCTCTAATTTTTGAAGAGCCTATGACGTGTTTCAATGCCAATAGGCGATATGTAGTGTTACAATGCCGTGGACGAGTTTAAAGGTCACTAGATGCACACCAATCATACGAGTAGCTTCGTCTCTGTCACGTAACAACAGCGACGACGGAGGAGAGATTAGTATTGAGAATTATGTTTCTTTTGGGAAAACGGTGCCGATCTTGGACGGGGAGTCAGTTTGGCCGGGAGGTCCTGAAGTGAGCGTTGTGTCCGCTGTAAACGGTTCAACCTTTAAAACTGCGTAAGTGAAGTAAACGCGCGCCAATTACGTCTCATTGCGACTCGTTACTTTTCTGCGCCAAACGCTTCTTTGCATGCCCAATTCCTTCAATTTATCAAACGAATATCGTTATTGCAGGCCATGGAATCGCTGAACGAGACAATCGAAAGCGATGTTGATCATCTGGTGGAGTCTGCAGGACTGAAATGGTTCTTGCAGTTCTTTCGCATAGAGCTTCTCCTATCGTGCTTGATTGGTCTATGCGCTGACTGTCTAATAGTCTACGTCATCCTACAATCCAAACGAATGCTGAAGTCGCACACCAATCTGGTCATATTAAATTGGGCCATAGTGGATGGTGTCTTCCTTTTCTTGATACCATTCAACTACCGACTGTTCTCTAACAACATCAACAATTTTCTATTCCAAAACAAAACGATGGCATGCATGTTAACCAACTCGGACGTTTCCATCTACTTGATTGTCTTCAGTTTGATCCTGCTGCTGACAGTCGACCGCGCAATCAAGGGCAGCAACACCAAACTGCTCGTATATTTAATGGCCTTCATCTACACCACATTCTTGTTCCTTTGGGCGGTTTCGTCCACCGTTTGCTCCATATTCAATACGCACATCATGGGCTACGAGCAATTGGCATTCGTACTGATCATCTTAATGCTCATACTGAATATCACCGTCAAACAAATCTGGCGTTGCTGCAGGAAACACAAAGCCAGCAAATCGAGCGTATTGCGACTCAACATCGCCACCATCTTCATCTGTAATTGGACCTTGAGCATCGTCTCCATCCTGGTGACTCACCTGACGCCCGCCGTTTTTTTGGTCATCTTCGGCGTCGCCGGATATCTGAACTCCGTTTTCATATTAATGTACCTCATTAGAAACGACGTCAATTACAAAATATGTTTCCTCACGTTGTTCCGAATGAACTCGGATCGCTACGAAGTGAGTGCAGCGATCAGTTTCGCCGAAAGTTGCAGCGAGGATTGCGATTCTTCACTGAACGTCAGATTCCTTAATGAGGAACGCACCGAGCAGGACGTATTCGTTGTTTAAACTCTCCTCTAACTGTAATTTAAATATTTTTTTAATACTAATTTTAGGAATACTTTCTAGCAACTGTGTTATTATTATTATTGTTAATATAAACATTTGACTTGTATACTGAAATTCTTTCATTTAATGATTCATTGCAGAATTATAAATAAATAAATTTTATTTGCGTTTCTTATCATTAAATCAATATTCATAATGAATAAATGTAGTAAATTAAAACTAAATAATAGAATTTCATCTTCCTACAATCACAATTTAGTCATTTCAATCAAAAACTTTCTGCATCTGTGGGAAAACCGCCACTGTCTACAGCTATAATTGAATATACGTTCCTTTCCCAATTATCCAGCATCAATATGATTCTCTCTATTATAGTTTACAAGAAAATCAATCGTTAATTCTTCTATTTTGAACTCGAATTATAGCTGTAAGTGAGTTTATTTATTAACATAATGTATATTTATTTTAACAGTCTCATATAAACAAATAAAAAAACAATTTATTTAATAACAATAAAGAAAGAAAAACAATTAACTGTTACAAATTCCTATTGAAGCTAGTTCACAAAATAAACTAAACATCAAAACCGCAACGGAAATGTTCTTGCTATTATAATAGTTTTCCACATGTAAATGAAGTTGTATCTAAAATAGCTGGAACATAACTAATTAATCACAAACAAATATAGTTATATGATTGTATTACCTCTAGAAATCGTCTTTGTTCATGAAATTGGATTCACTATATCAAAATGTTCGTTGCGGTCATCAGCATTCATTCGAACATCGACAAATTCAAAACCATCTCCCATCCTATCGCATTCATCGACGTCCTCATCAATTTCCAATTTAATCTTAATCTCATCCTCCACTTTATTTATTTTAAGCAGTAGCACATTTTCCGTCTCTTCGATTTCCGATTTCCTCTTCAAACACCCCAACTCACTACTCTCTTGCTTAACGCTGAACTCATCAGAGACATTCTCTTCAACTTTAACAATGTCCACATTTTGCGTCTTTTTATAAGACGTTATTTTTTTATTGCACGAAGGAACGTTATCCTCCAGACTGGGCTTCTTTGTTAATTCTGAGAAGTCCGATGGACCTGGGTTTTTTTCCGTTATATCGAAAACATTCTTGAATTGTGTATTTTTCTTCTCCTGAAGTGCATTATCAACTAAATCATTGCTACTGCTTTCACTGTCACTAAATGTTGTCTCAAGTGTACCTGTTTTTATCCTCGAAAGCTGTGGATTTCGTCGCATGAAAGCATAAAACCACTTTTTACCTGCAATTTTTTTCTCTTTATTAAACGTGTGCGGAAGCGAGTGCTTCTCTGCGACATCGAACGCTAATTTACGGATCTCGTTGGTGGTTAAACCGAAAGAGCATTTCTCGAGTTGAAGGATGTGCGAGGAAAGAACTTTTTCCATGTGCGAGGAAAATGTGGCTTGTCTGCCCAAAGCCTTGACTTGGTTGTTTCTGTCGGCGTGCCTCTTAATAGTAGCTTTGGGTACTCCAAACTTGCGGCTGCATTCGTTCAGACCACTTTCGCCGTCTTTGTATGCCGCGATGGCCATTAATAAATCATTTTCCGACCAACGACTATAATGTCCTCTCTTAGCCATGGCAATCCTAAAAAGGTTTTTTTTTATTCAAAATATTAGAACACAAATAGTAGGGTAACTATGGTAACTTCTAACGTTGCGTGTATTGGACCAGTCCAATTTAGGAGTCACAAACAAATGTATATGTCAATAACGAAACGTCAATACAAGATCTGACAGGAACGCGATCTGAAAAATTTCATTGTCAAGTCCAGCTAATTACTTTTAACAAAGCATGGTAGTATACTAGTCCATTAATCGAAACGCGCAAAATACAATGAAAATGGGCTTGTTTATTTACATAAAAACTGCAAATATTTCACCTAACCCCACTTTCGAATTCAATTTGTAAATTTGTTATAATAAACCGTAATGTCGTACACATATTCAGTTTCCGAGGATTTATCGATGTATTTTCTTACTGACGTTAGGACGTTTGCAACACCATTAGCATTATATGAGAATATTTAAGTGTTAATTGCCATGTAGACAATAATTGTTTACTAACTGCATCCGCGAGATCCGCTCTTTAATAGAATTGTTTGCATCAGCGAACATTGCGTCTAGGCAACCTATGTGGCAAGTGGCTACAGTGGTTCAATCAAGGCGGCGGTCCAATCAAGGCAACCCTCACTGCTTGATAGGTTTTTATTGATTTGTTCGCATCAACGTATTGAAAATAAGAATAATTGGCAATTTATATCAGATAATTGTAATGTTATATATTTTATTTAGTGTATGCAAAGGAATACTCCAATTTATGAAAGTAATTAATTTCATTAAAAATAATATTGAAATCTGTTAGGTTTTCAATTGTTTTATTTTGATTTCATAATCATCTTCTTAATTGTTTTCTTGATTTATATGTAATTGTTAGTTGTGTATTCAAAATTTCTTCAATATATTATGTACGATTTTTATATCACTTATATCTCATCGGTATTGAAAATTTGTAACTTTACAACTTCTAATGAGATCATAATTTGAGAAACACCGATTATCCGTAGTAATTTGAGAACGTTAAAGTACAAATAATTGAAAAAAAAAAACGCTTAATACAAAAACATCTTCAATTTGTTTTAAATTACGGACGTGACCACGGTTAACCCAAACCACGGTAAATTGAGACCCGGATAATCGGCGTTTTACTGTAATGTAAGAAAACAATATCTACTAAAACTTGGCTTATTTAGGAGATATAAATGTTCCTGTAATCGTTTCTTTTTCGTAAATAATTAAGAAATTGTTCTAATTTCGATAGACGATATGTGTTACATTCGCGTGGCCACGCTTAAAGGTCACTCGATGCACACCAATCATGCATCATAGCACCGCTCTGTCTCTGTCTCACTCCCATAACAACAAAGTCGACGGAGGAGAGATTAGGATTGGGAATTATCTTTATTTTGGGAATAGCTGCCGATCTTGGACGCAGTCAGTTTGGCCGGGAGATCCAGAAGTGAACATCGTCCAAACAGAGAGCACGGCCGATAGTAAACGGTTCAGCCTTTAAAAAAAAATGCGTAAGTAAAGTAAACATGTGCCAATTACGTCTCATTGCGACTCGTTATTTTTTCTCTGAGCTTCGGCTTCTTTGCATATTATCAAATTATCTAATGTCATCATATTGCAGGTCATGGATTCGCTGAATGAGACACTGGAAAACGACGTTGATGAGGTGGTGGAGTCTGCAAATCTGCAATGGTTCATGAATTTCTTCCGCATAGAGCTGATCCTATCGTGCTTGGTTGGCTTATTCGCTAACTGTCTGATTGTCTACGCTATCCTACAATCCAAGCGAATGAGGAAGTCGCACACCAATCTGGTTATCTTAAATTGGGCTATCGTTGATGGTGTCTTCCTTTTCCTGATACCATTCAACTACCGACTGTTCTCTAACAGCATCAACAATTTACTATTCCAACATAAATCGCTGGCATGCATAATAATCAACTCGGACATTTGCATCTACTTCATCGTCTTTAGTTTAGCACTGCTGCTGACTGTCGACCGTGTAATCAAGGGTAGCAGCACCAAACTGCTCGTATACATAATTTCTTTCATCTACGCATTGTTTTTGCTCCTTTGGTCAGTAACGTCCACCGTTTGCTCCATATCGGATAAGTACATCGTCGGCTACGAGCAGTTTGCGTTCTTTCTACTATTCGTAATCCTAATACTGAATGTAACCGTCAGGCAAGTCTTGCATTTCTGCAGAAAGCGCAAAGTCAGCAAATCGACTGCACTGCGACTCAACATCGCCACTATCTTCATCTGCAATTGGATCCTGAGCATCGCCTCCATCATAGTGACTCACCTGACGCCCGCCGTTTTTTTTGTCATCTTCGGCGTCGCCGGATATCTGAACTCAGTTTTCATATTAATTTACCTCATTAGAAACGACGTCAATTACAAAATATGTTTCCTCAAGTTGTTCCGAATGAACTCCGATCGTTACGAAGTGAGTGCAGCGATCAGCTTCGCCGAAAGTTGCAGCGAGGATTGCGATTCTTCACTGAACATCAGATTCGTTAACGAAGATCGGATCGAGGCGGACGTATTCGTATAATTTTTCTTTGTTCAATGTGTATTGTTATTATTATAATTGTTAATATTAAATATTTTCCTTTCATACTACTATTTATTCATTTCCTGATTGATAACCGAGGCAGTAAGTATATTTAAAATCGTTGAATATTTATAAATCATAAAAATAATTAAACTGTAATCAAATGTAAATATTGTACTATGACATTGTTTAGATATTTATTTAAATAAGTGTAAAGCTAGTGCACTTAATAGTCAATAGTATTAATCAATTAATGTGGAAAATCTCTGCTTCGGAGCCAAATGCGACTCTTTTGATGACAAATTGGAGGAAAATTCATTTCATTAGCAAAAATAGCGATCGTATCGTTACTATACATATTTTTAAGAGACAATATCCTAAAAACAGCGGACACCTACGCTACAGCAGCGTTTCTCAATCTATGAGTCGCAAAATGACAGTTCTCATCATGTGTCAAAACGAGAAACTGGAAAAATACTCTTAGCTGTAGTAAAACTACAGAAAGGCTGCGCTAGATTCAAACGATCGAACTTCTTAAAAGTGCTAAATTAACCACATCAGTTGTGGTGGTAGGTGTCACTAATTATAAATAATTTTGACACTTCGGAAAACCAGTTTATTGTCTTAGAAAGCATTGATGTGTATCACTAAAAGTAGTATTTTTATACATAACACTTTGTCTTCACTTATCACTTCTTTTAACGTTTATTTTTGCAATTAAAAATTATAGAGATAAGAAAGTCGCTAGTCATTTAGAAATGTTAGTTTTCATTACTGAAAATCAACATAATTATAAAAATATTCTATTATAATTGCACATAAATCTCCTATATAAATTAGATTAAACCTAAGTTGTCATTCCTTCTCCATTTTCCATATGTTTCTATGTATTGACATTTTTGCAATTAAAAATTATAGAAATAAGAAAGTCGCTAGTTATTTAGAAATGTTAGTTTTCATTATTGAGAATCAACATAATTATAAAACATTCTATTATAATTGCACATAAATCTCCTATATAAATTAGATTGAACCAAAGTTGTCATTCCTTCTCTATTTTCAAGTTTAATACAGTGTTGCGTGAATGTAAATATCTTTTATCCGCAATAGCTGAAATATACAAATTGAAAACAAACTAAATATAATTTGATAAATGTTACCTTCTTCCAAATCGGATTTGTTTATAAACAAATTAGGCACTGGATCCATTTGCTCGATCTGCTCATCGGCGGTCATCCGTACATCGACGAACTCAAAATTATCTTTTTCATCATCGACGTCCTCATCGATTTCAAGTTTTATTTTAATCTCATCTTCCATGATATTTCTTCTAAGCAATTGCGCATTTTCCGCCTCCTCGATTTGAGCCTTTCTATCAATACCCAAATCACTGTTCTCTTGTTTAACGATGATCTCATCCGTTTTGAAATCAGAGACATTCTCATCAACTTCATTTTTCACTTTAACCAATGCTTCTTCGTAAGTGTTCATGGGTTTGTTAGAAGTTATTTTTTTACTGCGAGTAGGAAAATCATCTAAACACATTTGGAAAGCTTCCATATCCCTCAATCTGCGCTTATTCGCTGAATCCGGGATGCGCGTCATTTGTATAGGAGAATCAAGATTTTTAGAGCTTTTCCAATATCTCGCATCATCTTTAAGCTGCAAACATGTTTCAGTTAAAAACATCTATTTTCTAACATTAATTTGCTTACTTTTTCATTCCTCATTGAATAATGAAGCAGTTTCTTCTTATAGATAAACAACTCTTTTTCTCTCAACAACTCCTGTTCTCTCATATGAACCTTTTTGCTAGCAACTTTTATTTGCAAAGCCAATAACTCTTTACGTAAATCTGCCAATTTAGACAATTTTTCAGACAAGGATCTTTCATATTTTATCTCTTTCTGTGACTTTTTCAACAATTTTCTACTATTACCACCTGAAAATACACTTGATTGATTAAAATAATTAAAAAATAAACATATAAACTCACAATCTTTAGTAAGCAATGTTGGTAATTTTGTTGTTTGTTCCTTACCTACAAAGTTTGATTTAAAACAAAAATATCAAAATTGTATCAACTTAACTAGCACACTTTTATTAAGATATTGGAAACTGGAGTAATCCTCTTCATTTTGGTATCCCTCTGACATCATGAATTCTACATCTGAGAATAACTGAATCTTAATTACTATTTAAAGCAATATCTGAAGAACTCACCAATATCACTCTCTTCATCAACAATACCATCAATTCCCATTGTTTGCATTGCAAATAACTTTTCCTCAAAGTCTTCAAAAGGAATGATATTTTTACCATTGCACTTGTCCATTTCATACTTGTTTCTTAATGATTTCTTTCTCAATTGCACCTTCAAACATTCATACTTGTTTCTCAGAGTTTTTGTTGTTCTATTTATCAGCATTTGGTCATTGAATTCGGCTGTCACTATTTTCCATATTTTGTCCTTCCGATTCCAGACAATTGCATTTGTTGCTTTATTCTCTATGATATCTTTGTATTTAAAGGCAATGTTTACAAGAGTGTTAATCTCTTCTGGACTAAAGTTGGCTGACCTCTCACGTTTCGGCTTCACAATCTCCATCATCTAAAATATATCAAATATATGATGAAACATACTAATTCACAGATTATATTAAATTATATTACATCTACACTTTAATCCACATAACCAATAACCATCAGATGAGGTAAATATAAATGAAAATAGCTACAAGTTAATTTTGAATTACTTCACTATTATCTAATTTTTTTAAATTTAAATTTTCTTAAATTCTATAAACTTAAAGAGTTTCAAATTAGATTATTAAATTGAAATAGACATAGATTCAATATATTAATCATTCTCATAAGATTTTTGATTCCAAATATATTTTTATGTAACTTTATATGTAAATGTGGTTGCATATAATAAAGTGTGTATTAATTTGAGTATATTAATTATCTAGAGAATTCTAAATGTAGATAATTGTTTTAATTTAGTATTTACACATAGTTTCTACTCTGATTAATCTCAGATTTCTGTAGGAAATATCATTTTTTCTTATATACTTTTCTATTATCCTTTTTCTTTAATTTGGTAACCAGTAAGAATTTCTCTATTATACACTTTTCTCATATAATCCTTAGTCTACATTTTATTTATCTATCCGGGCAGAAAAAGGGACACTACTATTATACAAGGATTACGTTGTTTTTGTTCCCTTTGTACGCGCAGCTTCCACGCCTTTCATATTCTAGGAAATATCAATTTCAGGAATAAGTAGCTTAGAAACTGAATACATACTCTTATAAGACTTAGTCCACTTTAATGTTATTGCACATTTGTTTATTAATAATATAATATACTAAACGAAATAATTTTCTTTACATATTAATAATCAATCAATGTTAAATATGTAAATTCATACAATAATTTCCCTTTCTTGTTCTGACAATTGATCAACGTCAGACCAAATTTACTTTTGGATCATAGATGGTAGACGTCAGATAAATCATTCATCATCATTCACATATGGTTAACTATTACCATGGAAACCCAAATATTGTAATACCAACATTTATTTACGTTAAGTTTATTATCTATTTAAGATTGAGTTTTTAGCATTTTCGATATAGGATTACTTTAATATAAGTTAAAAAAAAATAACCTCCCACTAAGATACATTTCTCATTAAACCTTTTTACTCACCCTAATCTTACGTCAGCCAGACATGTGTTGATCACATTTTTTGACTGACTTCAGTGCTTCTCAAACGGTTTTCTTTTTATTACTTTAATATTAATTTTTACAATTTAATAATGGCGAAATGACATTTGCCCAGATGTTATTTATTCATTTCATTTTTTTGTCCAATATATATTATATCATATTTCCTAGCAACGTTTGTTGTTTTTTTCAATAAAAATTACGTATTGTTTAACAACTTTTGAGAATGATTTATTTCTGAGATTTACGAGAGAAGGATAATCTAAATTACCGTGTGTATACATTTTTCTCGTTTTCCAGTTTTGATAGTGTTCAAGGTTCTACGCGAAACACAGAAATGTATGTTTGCAACACAAATTTGCAATTAAATTAACAAACGTGTTTGTGAAAATCTGTTTTGAACCTCATATCATGTTAGTAATAGCTTGCACTTAGTTATATAAGCAAATGATTTTGTATAAACAAAGTATAAATATATTTAGAAATTATTTCACTTTTAATATAAATTGAGTAATTCTTTAATCATCGGTAGATAGATAAATTGAATACAACTTTAGAAACATTTTCCATCAAATTCAATATAATTATTAAAATATTACCTAACGTAACGTAACGGAAAGGAAAACAGTGGTGTGCATACAGTAATACAGTATTTAAAATTCGCTTTGTTAAAAGTTTGTTGATTAAAGTCAAGTTTACGAAGTCGAGTTTGAAACTCTAGCTAGAGATTAATTAAGTTCGTATAAATATTTACTATTCTTTATTATTTTGTTGCATGCATTTCTTATAACATTTAACATTTTTATTGCAACGAAATACAAAAATTTTAAAGAGATTCCAAATGTAAAACTTTTATTTGATAATTTGTGCAAAACCTTTTGTTATATCAGACGTTCATCGTCCTATTTGATATTCGCACTTTTGTTAAAGGTCTCCTGTGTAATGAAGTTCTTTGTCGTAGTCGTCGGTGAAGCTTTAGAGAGCGGAACAAATGATAATCTTGCCTCTTTAAATTACCATTTGTTCCGCTCTAGTCAATAAAGTTATAAGGAATTTTCAAGCGTGTTCACGTTGATAAGACATTCTTTTGAGAATTATCCCATATTTTTTTCTTTGTTGCAAATAGTATTCACATATATATAGAAACATTGATCTGTTTTTATAATTAACTTGTTTTAGTATTTTTTTAAGTGTGAAACCATTGTACAGCAATACCTCGCATAGTACGGCTTCGAACAGTCCGGATTCTCAATATTTGAAAATTTGTTTACTCCATTTTCAAACAGTCCGGTATATTAGCGGAATCAATTACCCGGACTATGCGAGTTATTTATGTATTTTAAAAGTAAAAACAACATTATTTTCTATAGAATAACACAAATTACTTCAAGTAATAGAAACATTGATCTGTTTTTGCAATTAGCTTGTTATAGTTTTCTTTAAGTGCGAAACCATTGTACAGCAATTTTTCGCATAATACGACTTCGAACAGTCCGGATTCTCCATATTTGAAAATTTGATTACTCCATTTTCAAACAGTCCGGTATATTAGCGGAATCGATTACCCAGACTATGCGAGTTATTTGTGTATTTTAAAAGTAAAAACAGCATTATTTTCTAAATAATAACACAAATTACTTCAAGTAAAAGAAACATTGATCTGTTTTTGCAATTAGCTTGTTATAGTTTTTTTTAATTGCGGAACCATTGTACAGCAATACCTCACATAGTGCGGCTTCGAACAGTCTGTATTATAAACATTTGAAAATTTGATTATTCCATTTTCAAACAGTCCGTTATATTAGCGGAATCGATTACCCGGACTATGCGAGTTATTTGTGTATTTTTAAAGTAAAAACTACATTATTTTCTAAATAATAACACAAATTACTTCAAGTATTTGTATATTGGATTTTCTTGTTGAACTGAATAACTATGTTTTCTTGAAATTCCACTTGTTTGAGAATTGCTTTGTGTACAAGTAGTTTACTGAATTTATACACCAACTGATCTCGCTTTGCCTCCATGAGTTCGCTCAAAGCGAGTCTTTCTCCTTGATGCTTCACTTTAAAGTTAACATACTGCACATGTTTTCTTTTTCTCTTTCTCATCGTGAAGGTGGTTTTATTTCAAGATTTATATGTGAAAATTTTAAAAAAATGTTTAAATTAATCTGAATTATTATGAAATTACGTAATTTAGATTTTTTCTAAACGATAAGTAAATCTTCTTAATTAACTAAAAAGTAGCCAATATTTTTCATGTAGCTTTATTCGTAAAATCTATATAGTTGGTAAGTTGTTTAGAAATTATAAAAAAAAAACTTAAAACAGTGTTATATTTCATTGGAATTCTTGACATTCAACAGATTAATAATTAATAATTTTTGTATGTTTTAAATGCATTTTGTGGTTAAAAATTGTAAAATTCGAAGTAGTTTTTGACAAAATTATTGATATGTTTGATCACAAGTAATAAGATGTATTGGTTTAATACTTTTTCAATCATTATTCAAAAATCTCTGCAGTTAAAGTTTTATCTACAATGATAATGCATTCTTGTCGAATTGTAATGTTTTTGTTGAATAAATCAAATTAGATGTAATAATGGAAATATTTTTAAATTGAACGAGTTTAATTCGTTCCAAAATTTCCGGATTTTTACTCGTATAGTGAAACATATTCAAAAATACACATAATATGTGTACACAACTTTTAAAATTGATCTAGCAGGCGAGCAATTCAGGACTCATTATCACTCCTTATGCGAAATGTTCATTAAGCGAGATTTCAGTGTATAAGTATAAGTACACAAGTTTTAAAAATGATGAAGCAGGCGCACAATCCAGGATTTCTCTTCTCATCGTCACTCGTTAAGAGAGTCATTTTTCTTACAATTCATTTAACTCGTTAATCGAAATGCTCGTTATACGAGGTGTTCGTTAAGTGAGGTTCCACTGTATACTGAATATAAATTTTCTTCAGCATTTTCAATACTTTGGTTGCAAGTTACGAACTAAAAGCAATCTTTTGATAGCTTCAAAAAAAAAATTTATATTTTTCTTTTCAATTCCAAGAATTTCATAAACTAATTAACTTAAAAGCCGCGTAAATCAAGTAAGTGATTCACGTTTGTCATTGTATTTTTTGAACATTAATGCAATCACTTGTAATTAGTCAATAGTCAATAATGACTCAATAATAGATAATACACACATTAATGATAACATAGAGAAATACAAATTATTTTCTACCCTAGTATAGGAAATTTTAAATTTCTAGTCAAATAACATTCATTGAAATTTAAATATTATTTTATAAAAAGATATAAATAACAGATTTGTTATCGAGTCAACTAAATATATTTGAACTTGATAATTTAATGAATTTTCATTTCATTTATTAATTTCTAAATTAATTAATTGTAATTGTAAAGTAAATCTGTTTTTGTGCGGTACTTCTTTATGCTCAAACGATTCTGTAAGTTGCGCGTTTTGGATTAACACGAGTAGCAGTGAATTATGTATGTGCGTTTTTGAAATTTTGTACAATGAGAAATTAAATATTTTTAAAATGTTTCCATGTGTAATTTAATTACTTATTTTGTTTGGATATAATTTCTCATGTATTTCATAAATCTTTGACGTATTTTCTAAGTGTGATTTTATTATGTGTAAAATGTGTTGTACAAAGTTATTTGTTATATGTAAGAATTTATGGCAATTTCGAATGTTGTTTTGTGCGATTTCTTTTATGCGGTCCCTATCTAACGCACAAGAAAAGGTTTTACTGTATTCTTGTAAAATTTAATATTTGTACAATAACAATTTGACAAAATTCTTTTTTCTTAATAAAAATATTAATTTTTATAAGTAAGATACGTTTATTTTTTTGGAATTTTCACTTCATTTACGAATCATATAAATTTAACTGCTTTCGTATTTCATGCATGCATAAAATTACTTAAAATAGACAATGAACGTGTAAAATTTA